TGTGGCCCAGGTCAGCTGGCAGGATGGCTGTCTCCAGCTGGGATCTGGGGCCTCTTGTACATTATGTCTGAGGAACAAGTGGACCATGAGAGAACTGCCACCAGGAGCTGTGGACTGTGCCTGACAAATGTTTTTATAGGCGACATGTGTGCGCGTGTGTGTGTGTGTGTGTGTGTGTGAAGTGGGGGAGGACTGAGGGCTGGGAAGGATGCTGAGCCCTGGAGAGGTAGGAAGGAAGGAAGACAGGAAGGAAGGAAAGAAGGAAGGAAGGAAGGAAGGAAGGAAGGAAGGAAGGAAGGAAGGAAGGAAGCAGGAGGAAGGAAGAGGAGGATGAGGAGAGATGGCTGGCCCACATCCACAGACGTGGACTGCGTCTGCGTGGAGACATCATGCACAAATCACACTGAATCCCCAGCAGTCCTTGGAGCCAGGCGGTGTTGGCACCGTCTCCATTATACAGGGAGGCTGAGGCTCTCGTCCACCCCAGCACGTACCCCATAATCGATGCTTTTGCTGTGAGCCACTTTACCCGCTTCCCCCACGGGCACACCCTAGATGTGGTCACTCAGAACCTCGACCCAGAACTTTCCCTTAAGCATGTGCTCTTCTCGCCATTACCGTTATCCTTGCCTGTCGTCTTAATCAAGCTCCTAGAGACGAAGTATCAGTCACTCATTGTCTTGGCTTCCTCAGCCCCCCAAGCAAGGCTGGCATCCAGGCACTGCCTCCTCCCCAGTCCTCTGATTGTGCCAGTTTACCTCCTAAACGCTTCCTGGCCCTGCACCCTCGCTCCTCTGATTTCCCCTGCCCCGGTGCGGCCCTTTCTAACTCTTCCTGGGTGACCCTCAGCCTTCCATCGGCTCTCTGTGTCTCTAGGCTTGTTTCTCTCTCTGCCACCAGAGGGAGCTAACAGGTAGCTGATGGCATTTGCCAGGCGGGGCTCGGCCCCAGGGCCAGAGCTGGTAGGTGGCCTTGCCCCAGGTACTCCTTCCACCAGGAGGCCTCCCCTCTTCTTTGCAGACAATGCCGATCGCCTTCAAGACTTAGCCTGTTTCCTGTGGAAGCCACTCCTGCACCCAGCCTTTCCCTAGCCTCGGGCTGCAGTGCTTGTGCGAACCTCCGCGGTGGTATTGCTGCACCCACCAGCCCCATGAGCTGGGCTCCTCCCAGCAGGGGTGCATCGTGTTCGCCTCTGTACCTTAGTGTCAGGCACAGTGTCCTGACAGATGCTTCAGACGGGCCACTGAGATTTGCAAAGCAGGTGTGGACACCAGGACATAAAGGACATGGAGGGAGCTGACTACATTCGCCTCTGCTGTTTGGATAGAGGAACTGGCAAATCCAGAGAAGGGGACACCCGGGGCAGGAAAGTGGAGGCTGGGGAGTGGTGGGATTTAGGTGCTGTCCCTCTCCCCCCATCAACACCCACCACTCCGCCGTCTCCTCCCCAGCCTCTTCTTCCACTCCCTCTTTCTGGGCCTCTCCCTCTGTGGTGAGTGGTGGTGGGCAGAACAGTAGAAGGTGGCAGATGGGCCCAGGATAAATAAATGATCAGCTATGGGTGGGGTGCTTGCACCTGTATGCATCCCCGAGAAAGCTCCAGATACTGATGGCCTCCTCTCTGCCTACAGCAGGTGCTTGATAAGTATTAGCTCCCCTTCCTCCATCTGTGTGACCAGCAGGGAGAGAAGTCAGCTGCAGCAATAACAGTGCCAGGCCTCAGGCAGCAGCCAGACAGCACTCGCTGGGCGCCGACACTTCCGGGAGTAGATGGATTCCACCAGGGATGCTGCCAACCTTTTTATTTCCATGAACCTTTTCCTCATGTCCTCCCATGTGTCCTGTGTTTATCTCACCAGGTGAACTGCACTTACTAAATAGAAATTAGTTAATAGGAAAAGGCTGTCTTCCAGAAGAAGGGCCCTGGCTTCTCCGCGTGGACATTCTGACCCAGGGGCATTCCGGTGTGGTCTAAAAAGCAACCACTCAACTTCTGCTTCTTTGACTCCTAAGTGATGTGGCCAATAGACATTCACATCCAAGCCCAGAGCCTTATCCAGGGTCAAGGATGAAGTGAAGGTCAGAAATAGGGGACCCTTCACATCAGTGGGTTTCACATGTGCAAACTCACCGCAGATCAAAAATATTTGGAAAAACGTTACCTTGTTGGTGACATGCACTATGCCCATGATTGGTAGCATCAGTACTGAACATGTGTGGACATTTTTTCGTTATTATTCCCTAAACTATACAGTATAACAACTATTTGCAAGCATTTTCAATACTTACAGTACTGTGCGTAATCTAGAGATGATTTAAATTATACAGGAGGATGTGGGTAGTTCATATGCAAATACTATGGCATCCTATATAATAAAAGCATAATATGCAAATTGTCCCCTCGACCAGGAATTCGTCCAGGAGTTAGACCAGGGGGTGGGGCCAGCCAGAGGAAGGGAGGGAGGCCCTGGTTGGTGGCGGCTGGGGGAAGGGAGGGAGTACCCAGCCGGCAGCCGCTAGGAACCCTACCAGTGCATGAATTTCGTGCACTGGGCTTTTAGTTTCATATAAGGGACTTGAGCATCCTTGGATTTGGGTATCCAAAGGGAGTCCTGAAACCAATTCCCCTTGGACACCGAAGGATGATTGCATCTGTGACAGCCTTTAATTGGTTAAAGAACAAAGATTCAACGACAGCAACTCCAACCCAGTGCTTTTCGATTTTGATTCTTTCATTTTGACACGATGCTATCTCAGGCCAATTCAACAGAATCCCGCAGATCAAAATTCACCAATCTGGACACTTCATGGTGTCCTGCCTCAATAGCATGTGAATGTTTCCAATGAGTGTTCACCAGGCAAAGCTGGTCTCAATGTTGCAAAGAGAGAAATAGGAACGGCTCTCGATTAGGGCTGGGCTTATGTCAACGTGGTGTGGCAATCCTTACAGTTCAGAAACCTGGCGAGACTTAGATACGGCTATAATTCACAACAGATGGGACAACGAATTAATTTTTATCTAATAGTGCAGTTTTTCTGGCAGGCAAAATCCTTTAAACATGGGGTCTAAAGGAAGTCAGGAGAAAGTTCCGGGAAGCAGGAAGTCAGAATCAACTGTCTGTGGGATCGGTCTGCTCTCGGCACTGCTGTCTCCGGCCATGTGGCGTCAGGCCTGTGCAAAGCTTCTCTCACTCCAGGCTCCGCATGTGGAGAAAAGGGAGTGTCAATAATAACACCACCTCATCACTAAACGGAGGGGAAATACCCAGTGGATCTTTAACAAACATCCATCCCCTTCCCCCCAGGAGTCCTTTCCTCCTGCTCTGGGACAGGGGTGACCATGGAAATCCAGCCGGGAGGAGGGGGTCTGGCCAGCTGGGGGTGGTGGGGTCAGTGGTGGTGCGTGTCTTTGGCCATTTACTGGGAATGTGCAGGACAAGCAGCTAATGTGATTGCAGCCAAACCTTGTTATTGCATTCCTGCCCCGATGCATTTAGAAAGCACTTACGGCTCTCCCTGAAACACGTTTACCCTGAGGTCCGGGAGTGGGGCTGCCTCTTTTCTTCCCAGGGGGCTGAGGCTATGCTGGGGCTCGGGGGGCTGCAGGAGGGAAGGAGAGCTCAGTTCCCACTGCTCAGCCTCCGGGGACATCATTATGATATTTCCTGTTTAAACAGCCTGGCTGTGTGGTGGAAGGAGCCACAGTGAGGCTGCGCCCCCGAAGTTCAGGGGCTGGAGGCCATGTCTGGGCTGTGGGAGGCTCCTGACTCTCTGAGCCTCCGTTTCCTCATTTGTAAAATGACTGCAGCCCTGCCTTTGCCCACGTCACAGCTGTGTGGTCCCTAGGCCAAGTCTGACCTGCCTCAGTGGTTCTCAGGGCTGCATCAGCATCATCTGGGAACTTACCAGAAATTCTATTTTTTTTTAAATATATTTTTATTGATTTCAGAGAGGAAGGGAGAGGGAGAGAGAGATAGAAACATCAATGATGAGAGAGAATCATTGATCGGCTGCCTCCTGCATGCCCCCTACCCAGGATCAAGCCCGAAACCCTGGCAGGGACCCTTGACTGGAATCAAACCCGGGACTCTTCAGTCTGCAGGCTGACACTCTATCCACTGAGCCAAACTGGCTAGGGCCAGAAATTCTATTCTTGACCCCACTCCAAGCCTACACAGTCAGACGCTCCAAGAGTGGGCGCAGCCACCTGCGCTTTAACCAGCCCTCCGTCATTCCGATGCCCACTTGACGATGGGCACCACTGGTCTAAGTTCTACCACTAGCTCTGCTTAATGACCGCACAGTGGCCCAGGAGAGTCATCAGCCTCCTTCCAGCCTGGCCTTGCTCTAAGGGCCATTTGCATCTTTATAACATCATTCATGGGCCAAACAAAATTATCAACTTAAAAATGAGCCTGCTATATTTGGTCAAACCTTTAATTAATGCCTAATGCCTTGTCAGGGCCAGACCCAATGATTTCGATGGCCTTATATGGCCTGTGGGCCAGACGTTCCCCACCCCAGCTCTAGGGAATACTGTGGGCTTGGGGTTGGACACGGACAGAGTTGAACAGCTACTTCCCTTGAGAACAGTGAAGTCCCGGGAAAGGAGGCGCAAGGATAACAACGTGATCCTTCATGTGCATCGCACTTGTGTTTCCCAGATGTTTGTACATGCACTGCCTCATTGGAACAGCACCAAGTGCGATTCAAGAATAGAAATAATTATAATTACGAATAATAAGGATAAAGAATGTTCTGAAGCCAGCTCACACATGCATATCATCTCCACAAATAGTCTGTGGGCCCCTGGAGGATAGAGGACGCATCATCCCTGCTGCCCCATTCCATCATCTCAAATCTCCCCTTCTGCCGTCCTTACGACAGGTCAGAGTCTGTGGCCTCTGAACTTTGGTGCGCCATCCAGGCACCGGGGGACATGCACCCACAGACAGGACTCCAGTCCTCTGCCCCTCGGCCTCCCCCTCCCCCATACGCACCTGTAGGTGTCGGTGGCTGGCACTTTCCAGGTCTGGATGCCCTTGAGGGGGCCCTCGCTCCCCACCACCACGCTCAGGTTGGTGTTCCGGTAGGCATTGTTGCACTGGGCCTGCGTGGGGCCGTGGGGCCCACTGGCCCCACACGTGGTAAATAGCCAGTGAACTGTGACACAAGAAGAAAGACAGTCACTCACGTGGCCTGACCATCCCTCCTTTGTGGGGCGTCTCTGGCTGCCTCTGAGCTGTGTGCTCCATGGCACTAACATGGCACCAATATCAGGGCAAGAGATACCGCTCGGCACTCAACCTGGAAACTGCTGTTGGGGTCAACTATGTGCCAGGCCCTGGGTCAGGTAGATGGAGCGGACATGGACTCTGGCATTAGGAAGCTCAGAGCCTACTAAGGGAGACCAAAAAAGAGGCAACCAGCTACAACATAGAGCAGTAAAATGATACCGTGAGAGAAGGTCCGTTTCAGGGGAGACAGGTGCAGGCAGCGGCTGCGCCCGCTCTGGGTGTCTCATCAAGTCCAGCGCAGTGCCGGGCGGACATGGACTCTGGCATTAGGAAGCTCAGAGCCTACTAAGGGAGACCCAAAAAGAGGCAACCAGCTACAACATAGAGCAGTAAAATGATACCGTGAGAGAAGGTCCGTTTCAGGGGAGACAGGTGCAGGCAGCGGCTGCGCCCTCTCTGGGTGTCTCATCAAGTCCAGCGCAGTGCCGGGCAAACAACAGGCATGTAACCTGTGTAGTCGTGACTGCATCTAACCTGTCCCCAGGACTTCGCATCTTCATGTAGGATCCTCTTAGTGTGGAGAAGATCGAAAGAGTAACCTGGACACAGTCAGCTCCCTGACCCCTCACTGGCCTGGGGACCCAGGACCATGGGATTAGGAAGACCTGTACTCCCGGCTGGCCTCCTTATTCGTAACCACTGGGGTTTAGAACTGCAATAAGCAGCTCTTGGGCTCTCGATGAAACAGTGGAAGAAATAGGGAAGCGGGTCACATTTGGGGGTTTTGGGGTCACATTGTTTTTGGTGCCTGCCTTCTTTTTCCAAGCCCCTCGCCATTGCCTGGGATCTGTCATCACCTGGAGCACCCCATGTCCTTAGATGACCTTTGGGGCATCTCTGGAACACTCAGCACACCCCACCCCTCCACCGCCACTGGGCCGTCTCCTTTCACACTTTCTGTCTGTGAGTCAGATTTCATGTTGGCCGGAATTCTAACATTTTTATAACCTATAAGGACTTTAAAATACCATGTTCTTGATACACGGCTTTGACTTCAAATACAAAAATGTCACTATAAGATTAAAAAAATTACTTCCCTTTATAGAGATTAAGTCGAATTCTACCTATAGGAAATTATGGAGAGATTAATTTGGGCATATATAGCTTTCTTCACTAAAACGTTAAAGTGAAATTTTTTGGAAAACTTCCAAATAACTTAATGATACAAAAATGAAAGATTAATTTGGGCTACTAACTACAAGCGATCAGATTGGGCTCACACGGGGCAGTGTTGATCATCTGAAACCTGGGCCAGGTGTGGTGGGCTCCCTGACACTGCCCTGGCCCCAGGTCTGGGAGACAAAAGAGGCCTACAGCTGCCCAACACTTTTCCAGACTTCATTGTTTTTCAAATGAAGATGTTGATTTCTATCTGGCTTCTGAAGGTTGTTTCAAGGGCAAGAAGTTGATGAATTCTTTGGTGTGAATGGCTGAATGTTAAGCCTCTGATCTATTTGTATTTAAAGGGATAGCCTGTTAATTCAGAGTTGTAACTCTTCACTGAAGGCACTTTAGCAGAAGGGCTTGCCCAAGTCCTATGCATGGGCTCCGCTGGGGGTGGGGGTGGGGGTTCGTGGGGAGGTAGGGACCTGGGGGAGTGGGCTGTGTGAAATGGAAAGGACATAGGCTTTGAAATCGGCAAGGACACCTGGGCTTGGGGGTAGTCTCATCACTTACTGACTGTGGGACCTAGATGAGTTCCTTCATCTGTAAAGGGGCTGGACTGGCATTAGAATTAAAGGAAGCAAGGGGTATGAAAGGTCATTGTAAAGTTCAAAACTCTAAAAATGTGAGTTGTGTCAATGACTCCTGCCTACACCCAAGGCTGGTGCTGTTGTTACGAATAGGAAATATGGCGATGGGAGTGTCTGTGAATGCGAATAGATCTCTGCCAGCAGCTCCTAGGAATTTAAATTAGTGAGTTGGGGATGAGGATAGGTGCAGGGAGTTGAGAAATCTACTCCTCCCATCATCTCTAGTCTATTCTGCAGGCCCAGTCTATACCTACAGCAAGCAGCCCGGGTTTGGGGACAACCTCAGCCTCATCAATCTGGGTAGAGGCATAAGACAAGTGTGATATAATAGGGTGTCCCAAAAATGTATACACACACTTTGAATGCTTACAAGGCAGTGTTTATTAAAATACATTTCATTTCCAAAATTGAGCTATCATCTTTTAAAGTGTGTATACATGTTTTGGGACTAACATAACATAACATAACATAACATAACATAACATAACAACATAAATATTTTCCCTTATGTGTGTGCTGAGGAAGAGAGCTAAAGGTGTGGGCTTGGCACCCTACCCTAATAATACCTAGTACTTAGACTTCCAGTTGGCATTACAGTATGACCTAAGCAAAGTGCAACATTTGGCATTAGAGAGGATCAAATGGCCGCAGGGAGGAGGCTGGATTGGAGGCAGGGAAGGAAGGAGGGCTGGCTCTGTCCTCTTTTCTTACTTTGAAAACAAAACAAAAAACTATTGTGTTAAAACTCATTTATGGAGTTTTAACTTGTTCTTACTTATCATTTATCTTGTTCTTTTACCACACACTGGAAGCCTAGTTTAATATTCACTCACATCTAAATTGTATAAAGAACCCACAAACATCAAAATACTGATTGGGTATTAGACATTTGAGCAAAGAAAAATCCATTAAGCACTGGGTTTCATTTTAAGTATATAGCAGAAGCCTCTAAGAAGAAACAAATCAATTAGTAATACACAGCACAATGCTGAAAAACCATGGGATAGACAGCGATTGTACTGGTTTTATTACTGTTGTTAAGCCATCTTGTCTGCCTGGAGAACATGAGGGTTATAACTGCTTCCCCTGCCGATGGCTCGGTCACCCCGGCTGCCTGGCTCTTCAGAGTGCAACTTCCAGATCGAAGCCTTCTTCGAGTCTCTTTTTCAGACTTACACTGAAGAGCTTATATTTCTGGATTAGTTCTTCCATTTTGGCGGCCAGACTCATCGCCACGCTGGCACCGTAGCTCTGCCCACCCTCCTGCTGCTTCTCCGCAGTCTCAACAGCATTTGCCGAAGAAATAAAGCACGATACAAAAGAAAATAAGTTCCCAACTACGGCTGTTAATCGCAATAATGAGGATCTGCCTCATGCTGAAGGCCGAGTGTTAGGTGGTTGTATCACAGAAGAGCACTCAATGGCTCATAAGGACCTTTTGTACCATTTTAAAAAAATCTTCACCGAGGACATTTTTTCCCACTGATTTTCAGAGAGAGTGGAAGAGAGAGGGAAAGACAGAGAGAAACACTGATGTGAGAGAAACACATCAATTGGTTGCCTCTTGCATGCTCGCCTACTAGGGCCCAGGCCGGGGAGAAGCCTGCAACCTAAGTACGTGCCATTGACTGGAATCGAACCCAGGGCCCTTCAGTCTGCAGGCTGATGCTCTATCCACTGAGCCAAACCGGCTACGGCCCTTTTGTACCATTTTGATTCTGATCCTTGGAACTGAAATTTACCCTTATCTGTTGACTGGGCTGAACTTCATGGGACCTGTGTGTGGTATACTGAACCATTTTGATCACCATCATAGATCCCATTACATCAAACCAGGTCCAAATTCATCATCCATAATATATACAGCACCATTCTTTTTTGTAAATTGGAAAATTTGAGTACGTAATGAAAATTAATAAATTATGCTCCTTATTAGGGTGAAGTAAAAATAATGTACATATTGTAGCTATTAGGAGGTTAAAACATTTCTACAATCTGTCTCAACTCTTTAAACAGTGGAGCAGTGCCCCTTCTAGATATACAATCAATGCCCGATGATTGCGTTCTTTTTTTTGATGTTCGCAGTTGTAGAAGCTTAATGCCTAGGCCCATGTATTTATTGGGAGCTGCAAAATAATGATACTCAAATTAAACCTTTTCTTCTTATTTATTAGTTGGAATACATTTATAAAGCGATGCTTCCTCTTATCTACTATTTGGTTACCCATGCAGGATAAATGCTCAATTCTTTCTCCTTATTATAGTTTTCAAGATAATGAATTAGTTATTTATCATCCTCTAAAGTTGACCAACTAGTTGTTTATACATGATATAAATTCTTGAATTTAAACATATTTTTTAGTTCTAATTGACCCCTATTATCCTTTAGAAGCTGAAAATGTCACATTTTTGATCAGTGGTAAGCCTCCTGAGTTCTTTTGCTTTCTTGCTATCTGGTATGACAAAATGTGCCTTCCCTAGACCTGGGTTCAGCCATTTTCTCCAAAGTCTTTGTTTCGTTGGGAAAAGGTATTTTAATTGCACACCTTGAAGGCTAGAGACACTTATTGCTACTGGTTGGTGATTGTGTCTAGGGTTCTTTAGTGACAGAACTAGGAAATATCTGTGTGTGTACATATGTATATCAGTATAAACATACACATATATGAAGTACACACACGGATATGACAAAATACCTCATGAGCTCACAATGATACTTTCTTTTTTATTACTATTTTTTTCTTTATTGGTTAAGGTATTACATATGTGTTGTTATCCCCTCTTACCCCCGCCCCCCACCCACAGCTCATGCCCTCACCCCCCTGGTGTCTATGTCCATTGGTTATGCTTATATGCATGCATACAAGTCCTTTGATTGATCTCTCCCCTTTACCGCCACCCTCCTCTGCCTTCCCTCTGAGGTTTGACAGTCTGATTGATGCTTCTCTGTCTCTGAATCTGTTTTTGTTCATCAGTTTATGTTGTTCATTATATTCCACAAATGAGTGAGATCATGTGATATTTATCTTTCTCTGACTGACTTATTTTGCTTAGCATAAAGCTCTCCAGGTCCATCCATGCTGTTGCAAATGGTAGGAGTTCCTTCCTTTTT